CTACTTTTACAGATATTTTATTTCTTTTTTTATCTTTTCCCAATTCCCAAATACTACCGGTACTACCATACATTTTATATTTCCCATTATACACTTTAGGTATGCTACAGCTACATTATACATAGCCATCATTCAAACAAATAGCCACATTGACACACTCTTCAAGTTGCCACAAATTCAATGGTCTAGGGTTTCACTATCAAGTCTTTGATGTATGGAGATTTTTATTTGTAGGGGGAACCATTTTATTAAAAAATTTAGATGTAATAATTGATGCATTATTTGCAATTGTACTCCTGTTTATAGGTATCTAGATAAGATGTAACTTTGTTAGAATGCCACATGCACATGTAGTATTTTTCACAGAGTAATTTCTGTAATTAAAAGAAACTGTTTCCCCCTACTCGAAGTGGACTCTTCCGACCGTCAGAAAGTTGCTTTAGTGAAATGGACTTACGTGCATGGAGGACTTTTTACTTTGCCAAATCCTATGTTTGTGGTAGGATTTTGTACTTTTTGAGAGTAATACAGTTTGTGATGTCAGAATACATTGTTATGTCGTGTTATTTTTACATATTCCCTGGAAAAAAGATCGTTTTGAAGGTGTGTGTGCATGTGCCGCCCAGGCCGAGTTTATACGTTCGGCCCATTACTTTTAACGCCCGTTACTAGCACATGTTTCCGACACAATACGTGTTTCTAAATGAAATATAATATATATCTAAAAGGGAGATGATATGTTGTTACAGGCACGATGACTTAGTAAATCTGCCGTACGTTTGACTGTCGTCAGTAAAGTTTTGTGCCATGAATGGTGACATGTGCAAAGGGGGTGGGGGGCGAGTTCTATATCAAAAGAATTTTTTTTGACGAACTTTTGAAGAGGCAACCTAGCTTTCCGAACAAATTGCACTCAGAAAAATGTTTCTGCATTGAAGCAATGTATTTTTAACGCTGTTAACTATGCCCAAATTTTGAAAAATTACAACGTTCGGGGTGGATTTTGGGGCCCCAATTCGGGACCCGAGAGTATGGATTTTTGTTCTGTTTTTATTTTATTTCATTTTGGCAAAAAAACGAAGCGGCGAATCCGTTAACCAAGGAAATAAATTGGTGTGGCCTAAATAGGTTTCTTTGTAGCCAGGTTTTGTTCTATTATAGAGGATGGTTCTAAAGAGAAATTTCATAAGAAAAAACCTTGCATTGGTGAAAATATGTTTGCTGTCGCTAATTTTTAGCTGTTGAACAGAAAATCTTGAGAGAATTTTCTACCCCTTGGTTAGAATGGTTGGTACAGGCTTCCAGATTTCATGGGTGGGAGAGGGGCGTTACTGTAGGGATGTTGTACAGGGAGAGGCCATTCATCAAAATTCCAGCCAGCCATGCAAATTAGGGGGTCTACACTGGGTAATAGGATGCAAAAGTCAGGCGGCAAGGTGTAAGGGTGGGGCTAGAGCCAGCCAGAATGCTTTCATGTCTCTCTCTTTTGAGTCCCGGCGAGAAATGCTTTTTGCATGTGTCAGAGAAACTCGCACCACTGGTCTATGTGGTAAATGCAATGGCTGATAGGGAGATATTAGTCCAGACCCCCTCTATACACAAGGCAAGTCTAAAATTAAGTAAAAATCTAGTACTAAAAATTTAGTACTAAAAAGATAAAAACATTTCAGAAATCAAAAGTGAAGCAAATTTTATCATTGGTATGTTTCAGCGTTTTTTCTCTCTTCTGTGCTATTGGAAAAGCATTCGTCTACTTCCCCTGGTACAGACTAGTGGAATTCTACCTCTCTTACTTCTGGGGAGTTTTACCCAAGCTACCAGCATTACTCACCTCTCTGGAAGTGTAAAAACATGCACCAAATTGTCCCCGGAAATTGTGTGTGCACATACCAAGCCACTTCAGGCGACTGGAAGTTATGCCAGCTATCTGTAAATAAGGGGGGGAAGCCAGGACAATTTTTACGGCCCAGAGAGCACTGGGGGATAGTTTTCCGGCCCAGGCCCCAGTGTAAGGGGTGAGGGAATTCCTGTGAAAGTAGACGCCAGTTGTGTGGCGGGAGGATTGCAGGTTATGTTGTTGATTTGGGGCTGCAGAATTTGACCAGAGGGCTTGGGTCAGACCATGTGATCCCAGGGCAAGTAGCAGGGGGAGTCAGGTTACAAGGGAACCAGGGATGGGGGTATAGAAGCTCTCATGCACTTTTAACAGAACCTGCAAAACCAAAACTCAACATTTGAAGGAAAGAAGAAGAATTTTCAAGACTTCTGCCATTCCAAATGCCCAGAATAAATGCTTTTGGTACATTTTGCTAGCCTATAACTGTCAATACCGACAGTTTTAACTGATGGTATATACACATATAGAAAACCATAAGTTTGAATCTCAACTCCTTGCATCACTAGGATTTCTTGTTTGTAGTTCTTGTGTCAATTTCTGAGGTTTTTGTTTTGTGACATGCAGTATTTGTCTTGAATTTGATTGAAATTGACACACGAGGTAGTTAAACCATCAGTGACATGTATGTGTGGTTGGAATAGACAGTAGAAACATGGCTTGATTTGTAAGTACAGAGGACTAACCTGTTGCTTAACTGTTTGTTACAGAGATGGGGTGTCCAACCACAGACACAGAAGAAGACGACAGCTGAAGGGGATGAGACAAGACGCCCAGCGTAACGGCAACGTCATGTGCTACCCGCCATTCCCGGTACGTACCCCACGTCATGGAAGCATGCGAAATTTACTGCTTTTAAATGACAAAACATCGGCTTTTCTGGTAACTATAATGATAATAATGTTGCTACCATCCTATTCAATGTTGGTTGAGAAAACCTTAGCCTCCTTTGCAGACTTGTTGGGCGTCAGCATTATTTTTCCGAGAGCGACGCGAGTAATATGCCGCAGTCCAACGCGAAACCTTCTCTCCACGGCAAAAACTCCCTCGGCAACAAAATCATCCCTCCGCGGCATATTACTCGCGTTGCTTAAAAAATAATACAGACGCCCAACAAGTCTGCAAAGAAAGCTAAAAAAACCTAGTGAAAGTTGGAAATGGAATCAAATACAACATTTTCTGAAGTAGCATAGATATTTGCTATTCATTGTTGTTTTCTTGGACAAGAACACATAGAAGACACTTGATTCTGATTGTTTTCTTTCCTCCTTCCAGCAACCGAGAACTCAGAGGCTCCCCAAAGAGATGAAAATGATGGAGCCCAAAAAGTTTGCGGAACTGTTGATCGCCAAGCTGGAGAAAGTTAAACAGGACCGGGAGAACAAGGAGCGACTGGACGAACAGCTGAGAAGAATGGTAAGTGTAAGGCCTAAGTCAGTCTTCTAGTCAGCCTGAAATATCTTTCCCAATTTTGTTTGACGTAACATCATGTTTCGTGCAATCCAAGAGGGTCCGGAAAATTTTGAAATCTTTATCCTCTGAAACCCTTTACTGCATTTGAGGGGCAAGTTCTGACATCTCTTTCCATATCATAACACGCCAATTTTTGTCAGTTGAGTCGGAATATGCAAAACTTTTGTCAGTCCTATGAAATGGTAGAGAGACAGGTGCTGGTTTAAACACTAGCAGTAACTATTGTTGGAAAAATTCTAGACTTGTAAACTAATGTAAATTTTAATGTCAGGTAGGACTATGATGTGACTTGGATATGAACCGGTCTGATGTTAACGTGTGTTTTTAATTCCTACAGGAGGGCGACTGTGGTGCCAGTCAGGCATCAGGAGAATCTCAGGGAGCGTCGGGAGCCGACCCCACCCAGCCCAGACTCTTCCCGCTCATGGACGACACCACCAGCATCGATGACGACCCGGAGTCCATCCTGGACGAGCACGTGTCGCGCGTTCTCCAGACCCCGGGCTGCCGCTCCCCCGGCAGGCACTCCCCCGTCAGACCCAACAAGAGCCACATCTCAGGTGTTCCCCACCACGTGTCCTTCCCCGGCGCGCTCGCCGGCGCTTCCGCCATGGCCTGGCACAACCGCTCGCGCCCCAAGGACGTCTCCAAACGGGACAGCGGACTGGGAGACTCCACCGAGGCGGAGACCGTCACCCATTACCACAAATATTACTACCATCATCACCACCACCATCCCAAGTCAAGGGACGGGCTGGAGAAACAGACGGAGATGGAAACACAGAGGAAAGTACAGAGAGACTCGGAAATGTACACCACACAGTCCCGCGTACATCAGGACAGCATGGGCGGCACGGCCGAGTCCCTGCGACACGACGCGCGGAGAGAAGTCGTTGGCAAGCGTGGCGGCGGCAGGAAGGAGGAAGGCGAACCGTTCCTGGCCTTGCCTGTAGAGACGGATAGGTCAGTAGTTCACTGGTCTCCTGTGTTGACCCATATGGATAAAACTTGTGCCACAACTGAACTTGCTGCTCAACAGTTTATGGGTCTGCCAGCGATCCTTTTGAAGCTAGCAGGGTGCAGGAAGTTAGGCTGGCCATTCCAACGTGTGAAATTCCCTGCCCGATGGCTTTCCAACAGCCACAGATGGCATTTCTGGCCTGGGCACCGTATCAAAGTATCATTAGCCTTGATGCACTGGGGAGGGGGGTAGGCGTTAGCCGGGGCCAATATTTGAGCTGTGTGTGATCCGCACACAAGACGGCCAAGCAGGTGGCCAGACCGTGCAGCCAGTTTTACCAAACGGAAGTGAACCATCTTCCCAAAATAAGCACGGCCGCGTTACAAAGGGCGCTGTGCCTGCAGGCAAACACGGGTCGCTCGGAGGTGCAGCACTGTTGCCATGGTGACTAGCAGGCACCGGTAGCGGCACATTTGTGGTCTGTCTGAGCACAGCGCTTCTGTAACACATCCTGCCATGTGGCTATCACATGTGGGGACCACAGCTCTTTCTCATGTTTGAAAATATTTAGTTCCTGTAACTACATCTAGAATAGCCTTAGATGTCACCATGTACCAAGTAAATGGAGTATCTTAGCTACTTCATCAGCATTGATTTTTTTTAATGATTACTGAAAGGCATTCATTATAATTTCAGGGTGGCAAAGTATAAAATATTCTGAATGAGGAAATCTTGTCGGATATTGACAATTACCACCATTTCTTTGCATGTTTTTGTCCTTTTATACTGAAAGCATCTCAAATACTGGATCCCAAAAGCAAGCTACTTGACAAATACCTTTATTTTTTTTTGGTAACACAATTAAATATTTAGAGCCTACGATAGAAAACAAGCATCCATTTTTCTATCATCTACATCATGTTTTTGCCTCACTAATATCAGTTTGCCATGGAGTAGGATTAATTCAACATTCGTCGATGAAGGTTAGACATCCAGGTAATACGATATGCCAAAAAACAGTTACTCAAGCAACTGGATATGATTTTGAAAACGTCAGACGTTTCAGCTAGTATCCACTAGCTTTCGTCAGTGACTGAGAGACCAGAGGGGAAAGCAGGTTTATATACACAACCTGTTGATTGATATGCAAATAAAGTGAAGACAAAATTTTTTTGGAAGTTCAACATTCAACATTCTATTAAAAGTTCAACATTCTATTCAACATTCAACATTCTATCAAAATTCAACATTCTATTAAAAGAATGACCAAAACAATTGACTTTTTGACTTTATAAAAAAATGCCCTGAAATTATCCAGTTTAGTTGCCCTGAAATTTCATTTTTCACTTGTGTAAAATGTGAAGTTAAAATGAACTAAATGTTAATGTGTTCCGTGTTGTTTTGACTGTACAGATTTGGGAAGGTGTGGGACTGGATGGAGGAGGGTGAGAGGGAGAGGTACAGAGGAGGCGTCAACGTCAGAGAACCTAAGTTCAAACGCTCATCCAAGACAGCATCCCAAGCAACGCATAGAAGGTAGGTTTCCTGTGCCTTATTAGTAGATTACTGAAGTAGATTACTGTAGTGTTCTATCCACGTTTGTCTTTCTGTTACTTGAGAGAATTTTGCTGCCCACAACAAACAAAAATTTTGACAGAAAGAAATGTCATGAAACTAAGTCTACCAACAAAAATTGCCCCTCAAAGTGCAGGAAATAGCATTTCAGGGGTCAAGATATTAAAATTCCCTGGAACCCATAGGATAGTTGCTCAACATTATGTGATACGGACGACAGAAAGAAAATTCAGCCTGGCTAGAACACTAGTTTGCTGGATTTTGTATGTTTCAATAGAAAGAAAGGAAGTGCTCTTGAACCAATTTAGCTCATTAAAGAGCTAATCTTCCACTGGTCGTGACAGAGAAGACAGATGCTATGTACAGTATTACAGGTTCATTGTATTGGGAAAATTCCCTTAGCTCTTTTCGACAAGTACAATGAACAGTGGACCATGGCTTAACGTCCCGTCCTAAGGACTGCGACCCTAAACAGTAGCGTGCATGTCGGGTGAACGACATCAGCCGGGATTCGAACTCCCGACCTCTTACTCTTAGTCCAGAGGCAGGATCACTAACCACTGGACTACGCGTGCTACTAAAGACTAGCATGCTAGAAGACTCAGTGACAAATGGTGTTTTTGTTTCCAGCTCTGGAAAAGCGAGCTCCAGCTCAGCCAAGAAGCCCTTGGCGTACAACACGTCGCGCCCGACGTCCATGGAGCGGCCGGCGGTGACTGCGGAGGTGCGGCCCATGCAGCCGTTCATGCAGGACACACAGATGCCGGTCCTGCCGCAGCCCAACCCCCTTATCTGCTTGGAGGAGGCACGCAGAAGACTGGTCGAGAAGTCCAGCACCAAGGGCAGGTGAGAAGTCGTTTGTTTGTTATGTTTACCAAAGGAAAACATATTGTTTTTACTCTGTTTCTTCTTCTTCCCTCCCAAAAACTGACCTCTGACCTGGTCAATGACCAGACAGTCTCTCACCATGGTAACTAGTGTTGGGTTACATCATGTTGCAATTTTATAGCAGGAGGGATTTAGACTCCTGTCACCATGTGTTTGAGTAAGAATTATCAGAGCAGACCTTAAGTTATTTGTTTGTTTGTTTTATTAGGAACAGTACACACTTAGCAACAAAAATTATTCCTACCCCAAAATCATTCCTACCTCTTCCGGCTTTGTTGTCCTTTCCAGAATAAAATGTAGTGCTGTAGAATAAGGACCACTTTTTAAAAATCAAGAAGGATTGCAGTTTTAACTCATTCGCAACAACATTTGAACCTAGATACAGCATAGTTTTTAAAGGAAAACATTAAGTGCCCTGTAACCATGAAATTTCACAAGTACTTTTGTTTAATGATATTTATCAATGTTTCTAACTTGCTTCAGTACTTCAAAACCACTTAGAACTAATGTTTTAAAACATAGAGGTACAACAGAGATTCCTTGGAGTACACAAAACATGGAGCACACTGTAATGTCGTCATGGTTACCAAACATAACACACCCTGTTTGGTCCTGCAGCAGCAGACATGTTGTGGACAGCGGTGCCAGGAAGGACAAGGGCAAACTGCCGCAGTCCAAAGTCGTCCCAGCCGTGTCCGACTTGGAACCAGAAGAAGAAACGTAAGATGTCCCTTTTTTTAAACGGAGTGGTTCAATGCAAGGCCTATGCGACCACTTCTCGGCATTGAACTAGAAAGCTGAGAGAAACATGGCTACGTCAAGAGATGGTGGTGAACGTTTGATTTGAAAGCCTGTAGATTGTAGGTTGGTGGGAAACACTTGTCAGGGAGGGAATTCCAAAGCTTGGCCGTACGGGGAAAGAAACTGTCACTGTTAAAAGATTTCGAACAAGGAATTTGGATGCTGAACCAAGACACTTTTTGTGGTTGTATTTTTGAGTTAGCAGTGTTTGAAATACTGTACCCATCTGCAGTCTGCATTTTGCAGAGACATTTTCAATATTGCAGGAGAAAAATTTGCAGACTGAAGAAATCTCATGCTCAGGGTTTAATGGTGTTTAAGATCTTTTGTATTTACTACTAACTCTATAACATGCAAGTAATTTTGCACATATTTTTTAAATTCCATTCTAAATATTTGCAACTTTGCACATGTACATGTATGTGCTATGGGTTTAGCTCTACACTTTTGAATTGCAAAAAAATTTCGCATCCTGCAATATTGCAGAACACTGAAAAAAGTATTTCTACCAATAGTTACAATAAGAATTAAATTGTTTCTATGAATATATCAACATGTTTCTAACAATGCTGTTGTTTTTGTTTACCTTTAGCAGAAAACAGCCTGTCAAAAAGCCAGCGTCTATGATGTCTGTGTCGGGTGACAACACCGTGGTCGGGTACTACTTCTGCGGCGAGCCCATCCCCTACAGAACAACGCTCCCCGGGAAGGACATCACCCTGGCCATCTTCAAAAACAGCATCACCAAGAGAGGAAACTATAGGTATGTATCATCAAGCACGTTCTTGAATATTACTATAAGGCCACACCATCTTAATTTCTCGGTTAACAGATTTTTCTACAAAAATAATAGAGCGGGCGGGCAAAAAAAATAAAAACAAGCCTAGGCATCCTATTATGGTACGATAGGAGCCATGAAGTCAACACACCAGGCTGGTTCAAAATTTAAACAATGCATTTTGAACTTATGAATTTTGATCTTTTAATGAAACCATTGCATTGAAAGACGGAATAACTGTAGCTAACAACTAGGAAGAAAAAGACTGTTTTCAACTGTTCAGGGCAAAAAATGAGCATTTTGCAGTTGAGTCTGAACCAGAATCTTTTTTTTTGCAAATCAGAAAAAAATGAAGCAGGCAAATCCGTTAACCTAGAAATTAAATTGGTGTGGCCTAAGCTGTCTCAGTAGAACTTCATAATCAAAAGGTGGATTTTTATGACATTTTAAGTTTGCAATCAAAGCTATAGTACAGTAGTAATGTAATTGTAGTGTCACATTGAATCACCAGACCGTTTCGCTAGACAAGTCAGAATACAGGATACAGAGCAGGATTAATTTTTGTGAGGTATAAAAAGGGCCATAGACTTCTAAGCACTCTAGCCATCACTTAAAAGATACAGTGGGTGGTGTAATTACTATAGTAGTTAACTGTCTGGTATATTGCTGTTGATGACGTCACATATGCATAAAGTCTTGTGTGTAACTCTTGCGGGTTTACATTCGGAAGTGATTGGTCATCAATTGTCCTGATAAAGGCGACAGTCGTGGTTCAAAATTTGATCCTTGTGTGCCCTTGTGTTGGAATACAGTTTAGCATTGTACTATGGCTATCTACCAACACAGATGGACTTCCATGAAAGTACTGTAATAAACACATTTGTGGTGTGGTGATCTTGCAATTGAGTATTTACAAAATATATTGTTTTTGCTAAATTTCCTCTTTTTCTTCCGTTCCAAACACTGATCTCTGACCTGGCCAATGACCTGATATGTTGAGGTTACTCACCGTGCTAACTGGTGTTGGGTTACATGATGTTGCAATTTCATAGTAGGAGGGATTTATACTCCTGTCTGACCATATAGGTGAATGTATTTGAGTATGAATTAACAGAGCAGGTAAACAAAGGTAAACATTACCCATTTGCCTTACAAATGTTAACTTTTGTTAGTTATGATTATAGATTTGTTAATGAGTTTTTGTAAAGCTAGGAAGCTGACAAGTTTTTCCCTCTTGTCTTGTTGTGCAGATACTTCTTCAAGTGCACATCGACCGAGTTCGGCTCCAACGCGGTTTACCAGGAGGTCACCGAAGACGAGGACTTACTGCCACTGTGGGAGGGGAAGATCGTCGGCAAAGTGGAGCGCATTGAGTGAAAAACAACGAAAGAGACCGTACATCCTCACGTCTTCCCGCCGTCTGACCGAACACCGCGTCCGCCGCGCTCTATCAGACCGGGGTTAGGGACGGGGTTTTACGTAGCGGCTGTTTATTTATTTTCTCCCAAACGGAAGGCGCTAGTGATGAGGTCGGCGGACGCGTGGACTGTGAGGCGTCGGGAAAGACGGAAACTTTTGGTGCTGCTTGTCTCAGTGACTGACTCATACTTGGCAAACGTCCCCCGCCCGTGCAATCAGCCATATATTTCTTGTTCTGCGTTGTTGCCAAGGTCACCCTGTATTGTATAGTAGGAAAGATTCGAGATAAAAGATAATGTACTAAGGAGGAAGTTTTGTAATGTCCAGTGTTAACTACTAGTAATGTCCATGTTGTTGCAGTTGTTAATATTACTTTGTTACCTGCATTTTTCCCTTGTGAAAGGCTTATTGTTTGTTAAGTTCTCCTGTAGATAGTGCCACCGTGGATTCCTGATGTAGATAGTAAAGCCTGGAGGAATCAGGTGGAGTAAAAACCCTGCTGATTGTTTATGCCCCCCTCCCCATTAAATATTTGCCCCTTTCCAAGTTTCAAGTGTAGGTAATATTGCTTAAGTTGTGATAATTATTGTAAGGTGAACATATTTTATCCCGTACGCCTGTTTTAAAGGCTTGGATCATACCAAGGGAACATACAAGAACTAACGTAAAGAAACATGTAAGGGACAAAGCTTCTTTAGACCAGAGGAAAAAAAATGAAACGCTGTAAATGTCTGTGATATAGTGATGTTGCAACTCAGAACAAACTGTCATATTGGCCATAATTCTAAACACTGGACCTCATATTGTTTATAACTTTTATATGACCATCTCCCTTTATATTTCCCTGCAAAGCGTTGTTAGGAGTAAAATCGAACACACGTCAAGTCCCATAGAGTAGGAACACATCTGACCATTTCTTGCCTGTGTTACATTTTTTCTATTTTCCAATGTGTGAAAAATAGTTGTACAAGAATTGATACCTAGGTTTCAATTGAAACAATAAAGGTTATATATTTTTAAAGTGAAAACCTGTTTTTTCATTACTGATGGTTTCTGATTGTGTGTGTGTGTGTGTGTGTGTACAGCAATCTTATTGATACAACTACAGTGACTTTCATAAGGCCACACCAATTAAATTTCTTGGTTAACGGATTCGCCCGCTTCGTTTTTTTTCTGATTTGAAAATAAAAATAAAAATTCAGAATCAACTGCAAAATGCTCATATTTTGCCCTGAACAGTTGAAAACAGTCCTTTTCTTCCTAGTTGTTACAGTTATTCCATCTTTCAATACAGTGGTATCATTAAAAGTTCAAAATTCATTGTTTAAATTTTGAACAAGTCTGATGTGTTGACTTCATGGCTCCTATCGTACCATTTTGGGCCATAATAGGATGCCTAGGCCTAATTTTATTTTATTTTTTTTCGCCCGCCCGCTCCATTATTATTCTAGAAAAATCCGTTAACCAAGAAATTAAATTGGTGTGGCCTAAGGACTAATTTACTACAACTAGAAAGGTAACATTTTCAGAGCAAATGCATAATGTTAACCTTCACATATGGTCTGCCCTTTTAATTCTTACTCAAACACATTCATATACATAGACAGGAGTCTGAATACCTCCTGCTATAAAATTGCAACATGATGTAACCCAACACTAGTTACCATGGTGACAAACGTCTGGTTCAGGTCATTGACCTTGTTGGTTTGGAGAAGAAGAAGAGGAAACTGAACAAAAACCAAGATGTATTCTTTCAGTAAACATAACTACTATTAACTTTACCAGAAAAGTTGACCCGTCGGAGACAATTGCCCACCCCAGACGTCTGATTGGAGACAACAACATAGCGTGCTACCGGTTTCAGGAGGGCCTGCATGGGGGGTTACTGATTACGAAAAGTCTTCGCCGCCGATTACGAATTACGTTAAAGTTTCAGAGCTGATTACGACTTAACGCTTTGCGGCCAATGTACTATTAAGAATTACGTTGGTTTTTGGTAAAGCTGCCTTCGGATACGAAGACTAAAAAGGCCTGATTACGCCTTACGAAAAAGGGCATGCAGGCCCCCCCCTTCAGTAACACAAACCATTTGAAGTGTCCCTGGCTGGTAAACTTGGCTGAGTGACCAGCGTCCTGCACTCCTGGTCCACATTACTGCTGTTGTATGAAAACTAACGATAAGTTAATGGTTTAATGCGGGCAGACACAACAGGAAGTGGGTAGGGGGTGTCCTGGCTGCCGTCCTATTAGTTCAATTCTAGCAGGGCCTGAATTTTAGTATGAACGCATTTCTCCTAATCTCCAAGCAGATGGTAGTCTGTTTACACCCGCTTTTGTGATATTATTTTAGTACGTCCTTTTAATATGCCAGGAATAACTACTCTCCAAGCAGAGGTTGTGGGGGAATTTTTAATGATCGTTACCTTTTATATATGGCCGTTTTTTTTTCGGTACCCCACCCGTCGGTGGCTGGCGACCTTCTCTGGCTAATGGATACTGCCTGGCCAATTTGATACTGTCTTTTTGCCACCGGGGATCTGCTTGGAGATTAAGGAATAACAAGAATCACTCAATTAACACTTAAATGCCAAAATCACGGCGATCCGTCGACCGGTTCTTGAGTTATCTCACATTTTAAAAACAAACTCCCCTGCAGTCCCCAAACAACACGCTAGGGGGTCCAAACTCATGTCACTTCTTTCAGCGCACATGAATGTGCTAACTATAAATTCGTGACTCAAGCACGTCCAGAACACGAGATATCAAAATCAGAAGTTTCACGGCAGTACCATGTGAACGTTTGATTTGAAAGCCTGTAGATCGTAGGTTGGTGGGAAACACTTGTCAGGGAGGGAATTCCAAAGCTTGGCCGTACGGGGAAAGAAACTGCCACTGTAACAAGATTTCGACGGTGAAGTGGTGTGAGCTAGTGGAGAACCTAGTGGAACGCTTAAAAGTTATGTATTTCAAAGTTTTATTTTGATGTGTCAGGTTGACAGGAGTGGGTTGGTGGGAGCCCATGGACAGTAACCTGCCGTGGGTAGCTTGTCACATCCTTTTTCTGCGCCTTCTTTCATATGTCTATGTCTAGTAACGTCGAAAATTACAAAAAGAAAAGAAAACAGTTAAGAAAACTCTGGCTCTCGTCTACCCTGTCTGGTTTTCTTTCTTTTTTACTATTATTTGTTATACCCCAATTAAAAACGGGCTAAAAATTGGGATCTTGTGGCGTAGCGGCAGCGTTCTCGACTCGGAACCAAGAGGTCCCGAGTTCGAGTCCTGTCATGCTACCGATCTTGCGCTCTTGGGAAAGGCACTTTAGACGACTTTCTTCACTTCGCTCAGGTGAAACTGATGAGTATTGTACTGTCCCCTGTGTTGGTGGCGGCATTAATATAAGTTGACAAAACTTGAGTGTGTCATCCCTGCGTCTTTTGATTGCATGTTGGAAAAAAAAAGACAGCTTCAGTTGGAAAAAGTAAGCTATAATGGCGTGGTGGGGTCGTGTGGTGTTCGTCTCGGAACCAATAGGTCCCGGGTTCGAGTCCTGTCATGCCACCGATCTTGTGCCCTTGGGAAAGGCACTTTACACGACTTTCCTCACTTCGCTCATGTGAAAAATGAGTATTATATTGTATTGTCCCCTGCGTTGATATAAGTTGAAAAAAACTTGAGTGTGCCGTCACCACCTCTTGTGATTAGATGTTGGAATATAAATACCGGTAACTGAGATTCTATAGAAAATGTAAAACTGAATACTGTTTAGAACAATACTTAGAACACTGTGACTTCGAGCAGCGCTCCGCTATTAATAAAATTAGAATCAGTGCCCACCCCTACAAGGGCGATATATGAAACTACCTGTGTCGGAGAGAATTTGTAAATATTGCTCCTCAAATGTAGTGGAAGACGAAATTCATTTCATCTCTAACTGTCCATTTTTATGTTGTTTGTAACTGCAATTAGCCCTCGGGCATGTATTTGCAATAAACTTTCTATAAAAAAACCGGGCTGGAGTGAGCGTTCCATTGACCGGAGCGGTACAGGCCAGGTGCAGGTATACAGATAAACAGGTGTGATCTCAGGGAACAGGTATGTGAGCTACAGTCCAACGACCAAGGCTTTCCGGACTGGAGTAGAACAGCGATAATGTAAGCAAACAAACCCCCCTCATATATCGATAGCGTTGTCCCGGTGTTTACAACTGGCACCAGACGTTCCGAGACTGGTCAAAGATCAGCTTGTCTTTAAATAGCCTCGAAACGGGGCAACTACAAGAACCGATCTGTACATGGGTTCCTTGCGTCCGTCAACAAAGCTGTGTGTAGGCTAAACATAGCCACAATCTACCAGGCTTGGGGAGGCGGCTGGTGAGAGGCTAAGCTAAACACGTGTGTGCGCGTTAAGCGCAAGAAAGTGTGTAGTGTGTAGGCTGTACTAAGCGAGTACAATGTCATCTAGCCAATACGGGTCGATGACTGCCTTGCCGAAACGTAAACCTCTACCAGCCTTCGGGAGGCGGGTCGAAAGTAGACTAGAAATTGGCCAAATAGATACGTAATTTTGTCACCTTTTCTCACAAAGCGAGATACCAAATCCAGTGCAGCTCGAAAAAAAGCCTGTCAATTTACCGTTAAGCGTTGCCGACCGTCCTGAATTTACCGTTAAGCGTTATCGGCCCTGCCGAATTTACCGTTAACCGTTGCCAGGACCCCCCATGCAGACCCTCAAATAGAGATAACGTGAGCCGGGGTGTTGATCCGCTAGAAGAGTAGCATGACCGGGAAACTCTTCTGGCCAATTATATCCCCTTTTTAGGCCGATATATACTAGTCTGGTGGAGTCTACTAGAAGGGTACAATTGCCACAAACTGTAGTCTTCTATCGACCAACTCCCCAAGAATGTTATCTCTCTATTTTGCAATGCAATTTCTACTCTTCCCAGCCGCCTCCCGAAGCTTGGTAGAGGTTAGTCTAAAAGTCTGGTGTATGCCAAAAGTCTGAGTGCATCTACTGTGTAACCAGCCAAGACTTTGTATATTAACTTGTGTAGTGTGTATCACGCTTTGCGTCTAGCTATAGTGGGTCGGCTAAACGTCTGTGTGCGCCTATTTAGTTTGTAGGCTAAACGTCTGTGTGCGCCTATTTAGTTTGTAGGCTAAACGTCTGTGTGCGCCTATTTAGTGTGTAGGCTAAACGTCTGAGTGCGCCTATGGACATGGATGCAACCATACCATCATCACTTCCAAAACAGCGAACACGCAAGTGGAACTTACGGGTTATAGAAACAGGACTGCCATGTCATGGGAGAAAGTGCACGTCACATGAAGGACCTCTACCGACCAACTCGGCAACTGCAGGACAGGTGTCGACTATACCACTATTATTTAAGGGTCCTACAAAGTGACAGTAATAATTGAAGTACAAAGAGGGAGAAGCTAAACTTCACAATATATCACAAAGTATCACATGTATTTACATATTAGTATTATGTATAATTACAGTAATAATCCTGTAAGTGATAATTTAGTTTTTGTTTTATATCTCCATAAAATATATAAATAAATTTGTTCTAACAGTACAGTGGACTGTTCCAAGATGGCTGCCTTGAAATGTAAAACTCAGAAGGAAATCGATGAAATCTGAGAAGTCTAAGGTGACGTGGTGCCTCGGTGTGAGTATAGCTGTGTGCTGCTGCCTGCCCATCCTGTACAGCTTCTTACCGCCATTTCTCAATCCTGGTAAGGCATTGACTTTCATGTAATGTACTAGCATACATGTATACTTGAATAGAGGGGGGAGGGGGGCAGAACATAGTAAAGTCACCTGACAAGCCAAGTACTAGTTCAAGTAGTTAACAAACTAGTTACCAGCTCTGTTAAATTAAAGCTGTGCAGAGAAAACATTTCTGCACCACACAATCATGATCTCGCCCCGCACTTACTCCAGGTTTAGTGTCTAAAACTCAAAAGAGTATGGTCTAAAAAAATGATGCTCAAAATAATTATGTTTATGTCGATCATAAATT